CCTCCCTTACACTGTATGCAAACTACTCACCCCAGGGCAGGCGTAGCACTCATATCCATAATTCCAACGTTGGACCATGAATTAATCATAAACTCTAGAAGCCTGCATGTGGCTTTGGGGGAAACACCCAGACATAAACCATAACTCCTGCTTTTGATCTTTCTATGTATATTCCATCCAGTCTACCATCAATCCTATTGGTGTCACTCACTGTCATGATGGGTCTTTTGTCTTCAGTAAATCCGTTCAGCCACATCTTGAACCAAGCTAATACAATTGGGGCTAATATGGTTTTCACATCCTTAGTCTAATATGACATACCCATGATCCAGCGACCTTGGAAAAGCCACACTTATGTGCATATGAGACTTTGAGGGGACATCTAAATATAAGCCATAGCAGGAGGTTATCCAGGAAAAGATTTCTTGGGAGTCTGCTCTGTGGAGATAGTATACATACAATCAGCCAGACATTATAAACTATAATAAATGCTATCAAGTTGTGTCAGCTCAGATCCTTCAGGAGAATGGTGCTAAGGCAGAGTTAGGAATTGAAGTTTATTGGGAGTTGTTAAGTCATGTGAAAGATTAAAGGGTAGGATAAAGAATTGGATAAATATTCAGGTTTGATGCAGATCTGACATTTGTGAAAAAAAAAAAACAAGCTGAAAGAAGGGGAATTAGATGGGGGAAATATATCAGTCAGTGTATTAACTTTCCCATTTTTTTGGACACAATACCCAGCACTTACAGTTGAAGGAGGTGAGGTTTAATTTGGTTCATGGTGTTGGTCCACAGTCAGTTGGCTTCAAAGCAGAAAGGGCCTGGTGGAGCAAAGCTACTTAGTTCAGGACAGCCAGGAAACAAGCAGAAAAAGAGTTTCAGAGCTGAAGGCACAAGGAACTAGACCTAACCCTCAAGGCAGTGCATCCATGACCCACTCAGACACATCTAAAAGTGTGCTTTATCAATTTTCAAGGTAGATCCCCAAGCTAATCAAATAGAAACTTCACCCTGACTGCCACCATCAGCTTTCTGTAACTGGGAGGAAACATCGGAAATATACAATTTAAAGGAGGAAGGATTTATTTTGGCTCATGGTTTTGGAGGTTTCAGTCCATGGTTGGCTGACTCCAAGCTAGAAACATGGCGGAAGGGAATGGCAGAGGAAAACTACTCAACCATGGCAGCCAAGAGGAACCAAGGAGAGCTGGAAACAACCAGAGAGAGATATACTCTTCAAAGACATGGCCTTACTCACCCACCTCCTCCAACTGGGCCCTACCTATTAACTCATTCAGCTAGGGACTCCTCAATGGGAAATTCTCAATGGATTCATCCATTGATGAGCCTTGTGCTCTTATGGTCCATTCACCTTCTGATAAGTTCACCTGTGAACTTATCAGACTTTTGGGAGTTCTTTTAGTTATAAACTATAACAGGAAATCTAAGATTACAACACAAATCTGACAGCCTTGGCTAACCTAGTAGACAGATTTGTGGCAGCCCATCAGAGGAGTTCTGCAATGGGCAGAAATGTCCAGGCTTTGGTAGCTGCTAGGTTAGAGGGTTCCTAAAAAAAGCATAGCCTTAAGTCAAAGAAAAGTTTTTACAGATCCCAAAGGCAATGCAGCTAGCTGCTTTCCCAGGAGCTCAGAGTGATTCTTTCTTTATTTCTTTTTTT